AGAGGCATTTCTCTAAAGAGGACATACAGATGGCCAACAGGCATATGAAAAGATGTTCAACCTCACTAATCATTAGAGAAATGCAAATAAAAACTACAATGAGATACCACTTCACTCCGGTCAGAATGGCTATCATCAATAAATCAACAAACAACATGTGCTGGTGAGGCTGTGGAGAAAAGGGAACCCTGGTGCACTGTTGGTGGAACTGCAGATTGGTGCAGCCACTATGGAAATCAGTATAGAGGTATCTCAAAAAACTAGAAATGGAACTACTGTATGAACTAGCAATTCCACTCTTGGGTATCTATCCAGAGAAACCCAAGACACTAATTCAAAAAAATAAACCCCTATGTTTATTGCAGTGCTATTCACAACAGCCAAGACTTGGCAACAACTGAAATGCCCATTGGTAGATGACTGAATTAAGAGATGTGGTACATTTATACAATGGAGTATTATTCCGCTATAAAGAAAAATGAAATCGTACCATTTGCAATGATATGGATGGGCCCAGAGACTATTATATTAAGTGAAATAAGTCAGTCGGAGAAAGACAAATACCATATGATTTCACTAATATGTGGAATCTAAAAAACTGAATGAATGAGCAAAGTAAACAGAAATGGTCTCAAGAGATATAGAGGAACAACTGATGGTTGCTAGTTGGGAGAGGGTGGGGATGAGGGAGAAGAGGAAGGGATTAGACAGCATAAATACGTAACTACAATATTGCCACAGGGATATGAAAGACAGTTTGAGGAATATAATTAATAATTTTGTAAATATTTTGTAGGGTGTCAGATGGTCAGATGTCTTCCCAGGGAGACCGCATTATGGATGGGATAGAGGCTTGATCTCTGCACTGTACACCTGAAGCTGATATAATATTGATGTCAACTATAAGTGAATATATATATATATATATATATATATATATATATATATATATATATATATAGTCATGGGAAGTGTAGTATAGCGTGGGAGTGGAGTCAAGGGAATTGTAATAGATATGTATGGTATGGCGGAGGGAAGTGAGGCGGCAGATTGGGGGAGGGAAGTTGTCACTCTGAGGGGTAAAAAGTAGAACTATTGCACTGTGTTCTACAGCTGAAGCTAATTCTAAAACATGTGTATTTCACAATAAAAAAATAATAAAAAAATTATGAATAATAAAAAATTAAAAAGAATGAGAGTACATACCAAGGACATACCTACAAAAAAGTGTGGATCCAAACCATTAAGCAGGTTAAAATTCAAAATAAGCTAAAGCTTGGGGAAAATACTGAAAACAACTACTACCAAAAATGACAAAAAAAAAGATGATGATGATGATGATGATGATGATGATGATTTCTAAGCAAAAACGAAAAATGAAAAGATAGCCCCACAATTTTGAGAAGATGGTATAAAGTTAGCAGATGACTAAGAGAATGCAAAGTTACCTGACATCTATTGTTTCTGTCCCCTTTTAGCAGGAGAGTGGTCTTCAAAATAGAAGTGGAATGAATATCTTAAAGGAAGAGCTGCCACTCAAGATGGGAAAGAACATAGTGAGAGAACCACGAGCTGCACAGGAGAATTTGTTATTGATAACGTCTAGACCACAGGAAGTCTATTCTGTACAAGAAAAAAAATTGAGTGCAGGATGGCACTCAATTCAGAGCACCACATTTTAAGAGGGGCACTGCCAAACTACAGGGCATTTAGAAGTGAATTTGTAGGATATTAAAAGTTCTGAACGTCATATCTCATGGGAAATGCTTAAAGAAATTCTGAACTTGGGTCCTGGAGAAAGCTTTGGAGAACATGATGGCTGTCCTCAAACATCTAAAGAGACATCCAATAGAAGAGGGAATAGACTTGTTCTGCTTTGTTCCAAAGAGAACTACTAACAGAACTGGTAGGTGGAGGTTATCTCTTTGCAACTACAAACCATGTGCTAAATGGAGGGATCTAAAGTGGAGACAATGAGTTTCTTGTCACTCAAATCCAAGTAGAGACTACCATAAGGTTTTAGACTCAGAGGGTATTCCTATAGCGGAAGAAAAGCCATCTAGAATGAATTCAATTAAACTAAAAAAAGAACGTAGTAATCATCTATTATATTCCAGGCTCTGTGCTAAGGAACTGAGCATACAAAGTTGAATCAGATGAGTGGGGGGCAAAAGTCACTATAAAAAAAAAGAAATATATATAATGCATGCAACACAGAGAGATCCTATTAATGATAAAGTAACAGAGAAGATACTTTTAATAAAGACCTTTAATAGTGGTAACCAGATCAGGACACAATAAGCATTTATAGGACACAATAATGTCCCTGTATAGTAAACAATACACTGTTATAATCTAAATAGAGAACCACGTTTTTACCTTTAATTTGCTTTTGGTACTTCTGCAGTTCAGGTGCCAGGAGCCCACTGAAAGGTCCGAGACACCCCACTGCATTAGCAATAGCATCTTCATCGTCTGGGTCATTCTCTTCATCACTGTCTCTGACCTTACCATGTCGTCTTGGAAAACATAAAAAAAGAAAATGAAATATCCTAAGAAAATAGTGGTATTTTTAGAAAGTAAGTAATACAGTTACATGGTTTAAATAGAATATGTATATAATTTATATATAAAAAGTCTCTCTCCCATCCCTGTCCAACTTCTGCCCAGTTCTTATCCCACCTAATGCCCACAGGTGACCACTGTTAGCTTTTTATGTATTCTTCAGTTTCTTTATTCCTGGATAAGCAAATATGACTATATAGTCTTATTTTTCTCCTGTTTTTACATAAATATTAACATACTACATATATATTAATATGTATATATATACTCGTCTGCACCTTGCTTTTATTCACCTAAAAAATCTCTCCATATTCATACAAAGAGCTTCCTCATCCTTTTTATACAGCTGCGCTATACTGTATGTATGTAACTCGTGTTATGGAGCCAGGTGCTAATTATGTACACTTGAGTGGTTTGCAATATTACAACAATGCTGCAATAAGTAACCTTATATATACTGTGTTTTGCATGTGTACAAATATATTTGTGGGATAATTCATAAAGGTAGAATTGCTGGGTTGAAGGATATATATGCATTAGTAATTTTGGCAAATACTGCCAAGTTGCCTACCACAGAGCGTGTAGTAATTAATCTCTCACCAGCAATGTGTAAGTGGCTGTTGCTCTATAGCCTTATCAAGAGAATACATATAAACCTTTTGAATTTTTGTCAATCTGATAGGTTAAAAAAAAGAATCTCAATCCAAGCTAAATTTCTCTTAGTACAACTGATGCTGCCTTTTATGTAAACTACCTATTCCCATCCTTTCATCATTTTTCAGGTGGGTGGTCATTTTTTATTAATTTCTAGGAACTTTATATATGAAAGGTTATCAGTAACAAATATTTTTCCACAAATATTTCTTTGTCTCCTTATGGAGGATCTGTTTGTTCTGTTTTGTTTTCAGTTGTGCAGAAAATTATTTTTAAAGCACTTAATTATTTTCCTTTATTTATTTTTTTATTTTAAGTCAGTTACTAAGGTCTTCCCAATTCCAAAAAACTAAAATCATTCTTCCATATTTTCTTTTGCTAATTTTATTATTTCATTTTTTTCCATTTAACTCTTTCACCTATACGGAATTTATGCTGATATATTCTATGAAGCATGACTCTAATTTTCTTTCTTTCCAGATTAGGCCCAGCACCATTAACTAAAGAGTATATCTTTTCACTATTGATTTGATATGCCAAGGTTTCATATACTAAGTTCCTGTATATACATTTGTCCGTTTCTGGTCTTCACAGTATTTTAAATTAGCTTGTCTGTCTCTTCATGCACCATTTTTACACTATTTTAATTACTGAGATTTTTAAATATTTTTAAATAAGTTGTGGAGTTGCTAAATATCCCTTCAGTTTATGTTTCAATATTCCTTGGGAAGTACTTTTTAAAAATCTCTCTCTTGAATTTAAATCAAAATCTTTGGGAAAAACACATTCATATTTTAAGTACCAAACGACCTTGAATATATTCCTAGGGCTTAACAACTATTAAGTTACAATAATAAATTAAGGTATTAAGTCTTCTATAATGAAAACCACAAAATAAAAGAAAAAAAAGACCTTACCCAGAAACTGAGGTGGGTTTAACTGTCGCTGGGAATGGCGTAATGTTGTACGTGTATTTTTCCCTCAGCTCTGCCAATTGTGGGAAAGGGAATGGAGCCATAGAATAAACAGTCTGAAAAACAAAAGCAAAACAACACCAAGCCTGAAATGGGGGCCTCAAGTAACTCTTATCAATCCTGAAAAGACATTATGATTTGAGTGTGAAAAGGTAAATACCGTTTCTTACACAGGAAGTGGAAAGATCCTATTTCAATATCCATTTTAGAGAAAGACAAACAAATACTGATAAACCCAACAGTGAATTCTCAAATCAACCCAGATGCACCTGGGTATTCCAGCTGGTGAACACGGGCAAACAGGTAGGGCAGTCTGACTTCTTTCTGCTTGTTTCCGGGATGGGTTAATTCAGAAATCCACAGCGTCCTTACATCTTTAATTAAGAACCCATCAATGTTCTTCATACATAGTGCTTGTTTTTCAAAGCTGTGTTTGATGATTTTTATAGACATTTAATGTCAGCCTGTTGGATAAAATTAAGTCTAGCGGATGACTTTGCGACCAACTGCACACTTTCTCCATAGACGCCACCTTTTCAAATATCTCTGAATGCATTCTAGGTGAAAATTGTTAGTTGTTATTTTTAAATGGGGGGAAAAAAAAGTGATGGTGTAAAGCATAGGCTGTTAAAAATCTATAAATAAAAATGAGAAAAGTGCCTGTGCTTCCTCCAGAATTTCAAAATTATATATCATTCTATTAGCAGGAGGATAGTAATCTTATTTGCTTTCTTGATTTCATTAAAATCTAATTGCTCCAAAAATTTAATTATTTTAATATATTATTTTAAATAATTATATTATTTAAAATAACTGTATTATTTCTTCAATCCTTAAGGTTCTTATTCACCAGAAAATGGATGTTAATCACACTAACTTTCATTTCTCCCAGGACGCTGTTCAACTATCCGGATATTTTCTAGGAAAATATTTTAAAGTGGTATTTTTCATTTCCGCAGAACTTTTTCTGAAGGCTTAGAGGAGATATCTAATATCTGCCTGGGTAGGAAAAAGAGGGCTGGCTCTGAAAGGCGCTTAATTGTGTTGCTATTTCACTTCATAGCGCAGAGCCAGCACTGTGACAGCCCACTGTCATTTTTATTCTAATCAGCCTGTACATCTGACTGTCCCCGAACTTCGTCATATCCACTTATATCTTACTGTACCGTCCCAGGATTCCAAACAAGTAAGTATTGGCTAAAATGCCTTCCCTTTGATTCACCATTGCTTATTATGCAAAGCTACATACCTCATAGAGACCACAAAAGTCATCTCTAAACTGTTTTATCTCATATGCTACATACTTGATTATACCCAGAAGGCTGAGAAGCAGTACAAATTTACTAACAGGGAACTGTTCCCCCGTGGAAAGAAGCAGAAGGCATTCTGTAGTTTCCACTAGTCCAGTGTGTGAGATCGGCTGGTTCCCTACCTCTCTGGGCCTCCTTTTCCTCGCCTGAAAAGTGAACAGCAAGAAACTCAGGATTGTCATTACCTCAGACAGAAGAGGAGGAGGTGAGAGGAAGGGAGGTGAGGGGCGGGGAGGTAGTGAGATCAGAGAGAAGCATATGATTGTGTTGTTAATGTTTTATTTCTTAAGTTGGGTGTGATGAGTACGTTTCATTATATATTATTTTTAATACATTCTGTATGCCTGAAATACTTCATATAATTTCATTAATAACACAGTTAGACTGAACTCTCACATTCTTTGATCCCACAAAGGTTGCCAACAGCTCATTATGCGAGAAGCTGCCTCATTGCCAGCCCAGAATTCTTTCCTCCTTGCTCTTCTGATCTGTCTTATCTCTACAGACCCTTTTGAGGGAAATGGAGAGATGTGAAATCCTCTCCTCCGCACCCCAGCTTTAGGTCCAGAGCACGAAACCTCCGCTTGGGCCCTGGTGGAGCAGTTCAGCCTCTCACCAAATGTGGTCCCACTGGGCCAAGAGTCAGCCTGCCCCTCACTCACGGGACCTTCTTTACTTAACAATTTAGAAACTTGGTTCAGACACTTAAGAAACTCATGCCATTTGGATTCAAGCTTAAAAGATGAAACTATCAATGCTAGGAATTTCAAAATTCCTTCCAAATGAAGTAAGATGTCTCATGGAAGACAATTAATGGGTAACTAGCTGAAGATTCACTTGTGTTTTATTTTTGCCAGTTTTATAGAAAGTTATCAGAAAATTCCTTTGTCCACCCTCATGAAGTAAGTTTACAAGAAGAGAATGGGAAGCATATCTTGCTCTTACTTGGTCCCATCCTGCCTCAGCGTAGATGGCCTGGGGGCTTAGCGAGCTCCTTCAAGGTCTGCCCAGCTGAAGGCTTCTGGTCAAAAAGAAAATTGTCTCCATTGAGCTTTCATTTCCTGTTTCTGCTCTTCCTTTCTCTGTTGTTTACTATTTAGTCCTTCAAAGAAACCACTGTGGCTGAAACAAATGTTTACAGTACCTCTTTGCATATATTCACGCACCTATTTGAAGGTCTCACGTATCTGAAGGTATGTTTACCCCATGAACATAAGTGTCCCTGGCATGTCACCACAGCACGCGGGGTACCTGAGAAGCTTGTTTCCAACTTTGTAAGTCAGGGATTTGCAACCGGCTCCAAGAAACAAATTTTACTCATCATCTTAGAGCCAAAATATGGTACACTAATAGAATCTTAGGGTTAGGAAAGAATTTAAACATTTAGTTCAACCTCCCTCCCAAGCAGGAGTTCCCTCTAATGCATCTCCAACAGATGGTCACAAAGGCACTACTTAAACACTTCCAGCACGCACTATTTTGCAGGGCAGGCGGTTTCGATTTTTGACAGCACTAATTAATCAAACATTATCCTTCTATTGAACAAGCATCCACATCCTTATAATTTCTACCCCATCACGGATGGAAAATAGTGAACAGTCCAGGGGCAGATCCTGCTTTGTGGCAAAAGAGCTCCCCCCGAACACGGTCAATTACTGACAAGCACTTTGGGTGCTTTTTTTCAGTTTTTCTAAGCACCTACCAACCCTTCTAATAGTCACATCTAACTAACTTTGCTTTACATTGCTGTCAAAGAATTCATGAGAGACTCTGTCAAAAGTCTGCCTGAAATCTACGTACACTATTTCATTGGCATTCCCCCATCTCATTTTCTAACACTAGCATTTTTTTTAAATAGCCATGTTAATAATAATAATAATAATAATAATAATAATAATAATTGATGGGATTTACAGGGGGAGAAAAAGAGATTATTTTGTGTCTGGTGCTTAGAATTGTAAGAAGACCAAACAGGGAGAATCCTTTCATCTCTTTAGCTCAAAAATAAAAAACTTTACATGCAGTCCACATTTTTCATATGTAGCCATCTCAGGTTTGCTGACAGATTTAAGGTCCACCATTAATTGAATCACAGCCATTTCATTAATTTTTTTTAAAAGAGTGAATACAGAAAAGAGAGTGGCTTGAGATGGCATTCAGCATTTCTCTCCCTAATACTCTATGATGCCAAGGGAAAACCAACACATATATTTACTATCCGCACTACCAACACCCACTTACATAAACATTTATATTTGGATACTGCTGAAAAGGAATTACATTTCTTTTTTCATTTTTGACATGCTTTTACGAGAAACATGAAAACCTAAGTTGTATAAAATTAGGCTCAGTTTATCTTCACCCAGATGTTTTCTTTGGCAGGAGAGACGCTATTAAGACGGAATCTAATCAATCAAGCCATAGCCTACATTTTCCCCTCTAGGATTCCCTTAAAGCAGAGTAATGAGGCGGTTCTCTTTTCTCCTGATAACCTAAGGTTGGAAATTCCTAGAGGATAAAGATGGCAGGTATATATCAACATATCTCTCATTCATTCTGGCAATGTTTGAACTTGAAGTGGAATAAAATGTTGCCTTATTCTTCTAGAGAGGATCTCAGCTTTTAGAAAGACATGTTTTGAATAAGGTGAAAGCAGTGTGTTGGGTGGTGGGGAAAAAAAATCACTCGGCCAGGAGTCGGGGACTTGGGTTCCAGTCCTGGGTCTGCCACCAGACCACCTAAGAAACTAGCAAGATGTTCACTCTTGAAGTCTTAGTTTCCTCTCTGTAAAGTGACAGCATTAGGTTAGTTGATCTTTAAGCTTTTTTTAAACTCGAGCTTCTCTAAGTGTTGTTTAAAAGCCGTCTGCCTCAGAGCCACCCATGGACCAAATACCTGCATTTGAATGCACTCCTGAGATGTTTCTTATACACAGTCAAGTTTGAAAACCACTGCCTCGAGTTCTAATGTTCCATGATGCTGTGCATTCACTGAGCAACCAAATGTATTCTTAGCATTACCTTGGGTGTTATGGAGATACAGAATAATAAGAGGCTCCTCTCATTAAGGAAGTTGCTACTTCAGTAGAGAACTAAGATTAACGATTAACATATATGAAAAATACCAAACAATATAAAATAATCTGTAATCAGCATTAAGTCAATTGCTGAAAATCTTAAGTACAGGAGGAGATGTCATTAATGAGGGCTGAGATAACAGAGGCTGTGTGGGGATTGGGGGAAAGAGATTGAGTAGGAGCCAGATGGGTGGGTAGGATTTTCACAGAGTGTCAGAGGGAACCCCAAGCCCTCTCACAGGAATGCGCATAGATTAATAAGACTGGGCGGGAACAGGGCTATGACCAATGCAGTAGGTTCTGGTTGTGACGTAGTGAGAAATACCTTTGGACAGGTAAGGAACGGGGTGGCGTGGCCGAAGCAAACCTCCAACGCAACCTGTCTGAAAACAAACTTACCTTCCCCATAAACTCACCCTCTTCTTCCTAAGCCAGAAACATGTAGGTTGCCCTGTCTCCTCCATTTCTTTCTCCCTCACACCAATCCATTTTCCGTGACCAAGTCCTGTCAATTTCACCTTCTTAGTATTGTTTCTGTTCCATTCTTGTTTCTACCTTTCTCTGCCTCCTCACAGGACTCCCGCTTTCAGACTTGACCCTTCAAGGCCACCTGTCACACAACTGCTCATGGAGTCGATATAAGAAACAACCCAGACCATTTACCTCCTCTCCTTAAAAGCTTTCAGCTCCACAGCTCTACAGTGCTTCTTTTTTCCCCTTTCCAAAGCCTCCATAGGAGCCCTATAACTCCAGCAAGCGTACTTCATGACAAGTGACCTAAAAGATCACGTCCAAGCTCCTTGCCATAGGCTGTGGTCTTCCATAACCCATCCCCAAATACCAAATTCCTTGTAGTTTCCTTCATACACCATAAAGTTTTCTACTGCCATGGCATTGCTCACGCTGTCCCCTCAACTAGGAATTGCCTCTCTGCTCTGTACCACTGCCTCCAACACACAAACACACACCCTGGCATGTGTGTGTACCTGTGTCTATGTGCACACACGTAAACACACAAACACCTGCGCGCGCGTGTGCGCGCGCGCGTGCGCACACACACACACACACACACACACACAACAGAGCCTGACCAACTACTATCTATCTTCAAAGGTAAAATCAGACATTACTTCCCTCAAAGAAGGCTTCTGACATATAGAGATGTTCAATAAATATTTATAGGCCCTATATAATTAATATAGGGCCTAGGAAACTAGACTGAAGCATTTTCTTTACTCTAGTTAATACAAGGAAGCACTGAAGGTTTCATGAAGAACAGTGAAATGACCAACAGTAAGTGTAGACTGTTACTCTAGCAGCAAAACACTGATTGTATTAGAGCAGAGGGGAACTGGAAAGAGGGTCATCATCCGTGAATGTTGTTTAATTCGGCAATCAAAGGCAGAAAACCAATCATAGACTCAACAGATGTTTGCTCAATGAATTGATACACGTACTGAACACCTCTAGTAACAGGCCAAGTGCTACATCTTATAAGCAAATCATAGTCCCTGTCCTCAGGGAACTTAAAATAGCACTGAGGAAATAAAGAGAGTCTCAAGACAAGGTAGAGATGAATGCTCACAAGAGAGGTACAAAGAAAATGTTGTGGTGATTCAAAGAAATGGGAGATTATTTTAGTTGAGACTATCAGAGAATGTTCCATAAAGGAAATGGCAGCTGAACTGGAACTCCCACAAGAAGGCAGGTCTTAAACATGTGAAGGTAGAAGAGAAAGACTGAGCAGAAAGAGCAAAGGTATAGAGGAGGCATCTCCCCAGGCATCTCTGGGAACATGGAAGATAGTTCGACTTGACTAGAATAGGTCAAGGATACAGAAGGGGAGAATAGGAACTATGGCTGCAAAGATAAGTTAACAGGTTAATGCTGATATTCAAGAGCATTGGATAAGCTGAGAAATCCATGCTGTGCTGTATAGGCAGTGAGAAGCCATTGGAGTTTCAAGAGTGAGGGAAAAGAGATGATATGTCAGAGTCCTGCTTTAGGCATGTGAATCGGGCAGTTCTGTAGGGTAGAAAGGACTACACATATGGAAAACGCCAAGCAGGGACCTGGCACACAGAGCAGCTCAATGAAAGGCACTTCCCTCTGAGAGAGAGAGAATGAGAGATGACGCAACGGAAATGTGAGAGGAGGTGAAATCGAGCACAGATGTCAGGGTCAGATAGAACAATTCCTCCTCTGAGGTACACAGGAAGGAAGAAAGATGAGATGAGGATGCAAAGAAAAGCTGAAATAAAAAATATGAATGTTCAGGGAGGTTGCATCAAGTGGTCAACATTCTCAATAAATTGGGTAGCCGTCTGCTAAATGTAAGGGATGCTGAGAAAGGAGCTGCAGGTGTGGGGAGATGAGCAGAGGAATGGAAGCTCCACACTTCTTAAGCCCTAAATCAGCACCTGAGTGTGTATTTTCTAACCTGCTGACTGGGCCCCAGCACCCAAAAACGACCTCAGGCATGGAACCCAACATAAAGATAAATGTTGAAATCAAGAAAAAGAAGAGAGAAATGACAGAGAAGGAATGAACGAAGGCCCAAGGACAACCCTGGAAAGACCCACAGCTGGTGAGTGGGCAGGAAGAGAAGTCAGAAGCATCAGATGAGAATGAAGACAATTACATTATAGAACCTAATGGAAGAGAGCGTGTTGACGAATCTGCTTTTTTCTGTACTCACTGTAGGTTTCAGCGACTTGGTGAATATAATACTGAGATAGAGTAACATGCCAGAAAATAACAAAAGCCTCCAAGTCTTTCATATTGAAATTTATAATTCATATATAACATGAGTTGAAAATGTGGGCAAAACAAATAAAAATGCTGATTAGAATAATCACCTTTTTATCCTCAATAATTCCTCCCCAAAAATAATTCTTTCACCCCACAAGTCTCCCCTTAAGAAAGCTAAGAATCAGATTCAGAATAAGCATCTGGTGACTTGGGGGGCTTTTCAGTTTTTTTGTTTTGTTTTGTTTTTTTAATTTACTTTTGTATTGCACCTCATGATTTTTAAGCAACACAATTTGAATGAAAGCCACAACAAATATCAGTTATTCATTTCTTCCTTCCTCTTGTGACACAGTTAAGATTCTTACCAAATTACATATAGACTCTTGGTCAATTGAAAAACTAAATCTGAGGGCTGGCCAAATACATTCCCCAAGACCGCTGCTCTGACAAGGCTTGTTCCCATGGTACCCGGGAAGCCCTGAGCCAAGGAGGGCTCTGCTGCCCACTCACCTGCATGAGTTCATGACTTTCCAGAAGATCGTTCTGCAGCATCTCCTGGGTAAGGCGCCCCATGGTGCTGTAGAACTCATCTGCTGTTTCACAACATTCTATATGCCTAGATGAAAACAAGACAAAACCAGGGGTGAGTTTGGACACTCACTGTGCATCGGTTATGTGTTGCAGGTACAACCAGATCTGTTGCTTCTTGCCATCAAATCAATCAAGTTAGCAATCAGCAAAAATCAAACTCCTAGGACACACTCACAGTACAGCTTACTGTATGTGGAGAAAAGATTAAAAAAATAATAATAACAACAAAGGCACCTTAGAGATATTTATTACAGGATGAGTTCCCATCTTTCCTACACTGCTCCCCAACCTCATAGCCCCACTGGTGGCACCTTTATTGCTTCTACGTGACACATTTTACACATTAGAATACCCACCACTGATCAGAAATCATAACCATGAAATTGGATATGAAGAACAATTATCCCCAGTAGGGAATTTGTTGCTCTTAATCTACAAACTGTGGTATCATTGACAGACTGAAACCAAACCACAGTCGAAGTAAAAGATGAGAAATACAAGAACTTTATCTACATATTTCATCAGTCCACAGGATGTTTTCACAGACAGAATTTTTTTCAGTTCTTTTCAGGGCACTGCTGCTAGTTGGAGATTACACCCTGCATCTTGCATTGAGTTCTACATGTAAATAAAGATTCTGTCACCTGGCAACCTGTGAGGTAGGCTAGACTTTAATCCTTGTAGAGGGGAAAAAGGGAGTATTTCAAAGTAAAGAGCACTGTGTATTTGTTTTGTCTACTATGACGTCCTTTGTGTAGTAGGATGACTCCATTTGTCCACCAACAAGAGATATACTTTAACATATACTAATGTTGGGGGATTTCAATAGAGCCATCCCCCAAAAAATATGATGATGGAAAAACTTCAGGCTCTGGAGTGTTGTTGAAATCCAATTACCACAATCATGTAAATAAATAAACGAAATAAACTGTTGAAGTGTTATTATCAACATACAGAGTAGCATGTGGGCATAAACAAAAAAGTGGTTAAGATTACCCTGGGGGTGGGGGGGTGAGGAAGAGAAATAATGCTTCAGATGAGTTTTGAAAAATATTCTCCAGGTTGACAAGGAGGAAAAAGCATTCCAAAGACGTGGCTGCAGGGGACAGCAGGACCTACCCAGGGATCTGCACGTAGCTTCACATGACCAGAGTGGGGGTGACAGCACGGCCAGAGGGAGCCAGTGAGAGCAGCAGGGTAGAAAGCTGCAGAGAGTAGACTGCAAAAGCCTCACCTGCCAGCTGAGCCCCTTTAGGGCAAGAGTCACTGAAAGGCTCTTAATTGGGAGTGTGGGAACATATTTGCCCTGGGCAAGGTAGGACTGGTGGTGGCATGGCAAGTGTGGGTATGATAGGGAGACCAAGGGAAATACACCAAGGTAAGCTGGGCATGAGATAACGAAAGAATGAGCCAAAGCAGTAGGGTCATAGGAGAAAGAACACAAAAAAGAGACGCCAAGGAAGGTGAGCTGATGGTCTACAACTTACATATTCTAAAAGCACCCTTGGTGTGAGTGAGAGGAAGAAATGCCAAGTTGCAGAAGCAAGGCGAAAGAAGGCTCCATGGATAACCATGTAGAAGGCATATATGTTACTCAGATATACATAAACTGGAGACTACCTACATGCTGTTCATGATTTTTCCAATGGAAAGTTTGTGGGGAAGATCATAGGCACTGGAGTCAGAATGATCCAGGTTAAGTTCCAGCTCTGCCACTCATTATCTGTGTGACACTGAACTTGTTTATTAACCCTCCTGGTGTAGTTTTCTCACTTGAAAAGACATGGAGAATAACCCTACCTATTTCACTTGAAAAGACATGGAGAATAACCCTACCTATTTCACAGGTTTATAGGGAGAATCGAATGAGGTCATGTTTAAACTACCTAACATAATGACAGCACTATAGGCACTTAATGGTGTATGTTGGTTGCCTTTCCTTTCATTCAAGTTGCATACTCAAAACATGTAAAATTATAATGACCAAAGACTCTGAAATACTTAAAATTTTACCAGTCTGATTCATATATCCCTGAATTGCATAAATAGTAGTCATTTATTATCAGTAGATTCACATTATTAAAAGCACAGATTTCAGAGCCAGGATATCTGGATTCAAATTCAGGCCCTTCTACAATACTTTCTTAAATGGGTTACTTTGGGCAATTTACTTAACTTCTCTGTATCTCAGTTCCCACACCTGTAAAACGGGGATAATAGGACCTACCTCATAGAATGATGGTGACTAGTAAATGTGTTAATTATACATCTAAAGTGCTTAGAGAAATGCCTGCCCTTTACAAGCACTCAATGGAAACTGGATTTTAAGTATAGCTCTTATTATTTCAACAATGCAGCTTCCCCAGGATGACCATACAAATAAATTCTTATCCTACAGATAAAGGGACAGATGGGAATAAAACCAGAATCACCTCTTCCTTCTGCCACATAATTAAGAACTAACACAAAGATGACTATAACTGAGCCAGCATACAGTAAAGTGCTTTACTATTTTAATCCTATAAGCTAGTTACTCTGTAACTGGACTATCACACCCAGAGAAATTATCAAAGCTCAAAAAGCTGACAAGATCTAGAGATGGTTGGAAATACATGACTACAAAAAGAGGTCAACATTGGGAGAAAATGAAAAAGATAAGTAAATAGCACACAGAATCCCCCACAGATGAATTTATTTGCCTAACTGAAAAGCTATGTTCAATAAAACAAAGGCACAGGAGCTCGGTAATCTTTAAAAATACTTACATACAATAATGACTTTCTTTTAATCCCTAAATTGATAGTTGATGGATCTCTCTTGCAAAACACAAAAAATGCTGCAAGTCTCCCAGGAAACAACTTATCATAAACAAAAAGGCTACTTAAAAGGTTTTTAAAACAAAACACTAGCAGTAATTTATTAGTTTTCTGACATGTTGTCTATTACGGGTACGCACTCAAGTCATTTATAGCTCTAGGAAAGAAACCATTAAGGACTTCTCCATATCTTAACTATGACAACTTTATCCTAATATTTCTTCCATTATCCAAAGGGTAGAATTTTAATGTAACACGCATAATACTCGTATATTCGTGATAGGTGAAAATACCCGAGTTTATTCAGCCTTGCTACTAGTAAAGAATGTGAGTAAAATCTATTTGGTAATGTACTTGGTGGTAATAGATTTCCACATAAAATTCATTCTTGATGAAAGAAAAGAAGTTCCACAGGCTCTTTTGACTATGTACCAAGCGTTGTGCTAGACACCTTATACATATTACTTCATATAATTTTATCATAGACCTGAAAGGCAGAACAAAATAATAAAGATTCGAACATAATCCAAATTGTGATATTAACCAACAAACTCCACCTACTCCTTTCCAGGTCTTCTAGTTCCCCTTTCATTGAAGTCCCTCTCCCTCTTCCCAACAAGTGTCCAGAGAGATGTGGATAAAAAGTAAACCAGCCAGGTCTAAGGAGGAGGATGAGAATTAGAGGCCTGAAAAAGCCTGCCCTCTCCTCTAAAATAGATTCTGTCTGCCCCCAGTGATTAAGAATGAGCCAGCTGAGATTTCAGAAGGCGAAAGCAATCGCACAAAGTTCACACTTTTCTCTTTTCCTCATACTTAAATAGTGATGCTTCATGTGTTAGAGCACACAAATTGCTCAGGGCCCCAACACCACAGAACAGAACAGAAGGGGGAAATCACTTACTCTCCCAGTTTTGCCCAGATAGCCAACGACACCCTTAGGATGATTTCTGAACCTTCAAAGAAGATGGAATCCCAAATCTTTAAAACGGTATGGTTAGGGAGGCACGTAGCGAAGAGAGTCAGAAACCACTGCATCGTGAAGACATTCGTAAGTGGGGGCTCATATCCGCCTGAAATAAAACAAACACTGCATTTCTTCAGAATTGACAAATTGCAAGTTGTAAAAATACTCTCAGTCTTTTCATGTCCACCCAAATGTCACCCATTTCTTGACTGATTTGTTTATATCGCTAAATTCTGGTTCTTTTTTTTCCTTTTTTCCTTCCTTTTATTAAAAGAACATAGGAGTGTTTAATAAAAATATCAATAAATGAACTTTACAAGTTCTTTATGATATTTCAAAAATCTTCACCTAAAACTTAATTTAGTTCTACTATTTGTGGGATGCTGAAAATTAAGGAGAATGTTCCTCACCAAAACAGAATGAAAAGAAAGGATTTTAGTCTCTTGAAAGAATAAGCCAATTTTCAAAATCTCATTAAGCCCATTTTTATTCAAATGTTGCTAATAAAAATAAAATTGCTCATTAGGAATTACTTGTCAACTTTTTAAATTATACATAGTTCTGAGACCTTACAATGGAATTAAACTAGAAATTAATTATAAAAAGATAGCAAGAGAAGCCCAAAATATTTAGAGATTAAACAACATGAAATTTTATAATATTTTGAAGTAAACTAAACACAGTTTTAAAGATCTGGGATCCAGCTCACTTTGAAGTTTCTGAATTCACTAAAAAACATAGAGTTCTCTCCCATTTCCAAAGATGGCATAAGTATGTATTTTAATGGAATATAAAAATTTAGATATGTAGACTGATCCTCCCTCCAAATTACATTTAGAATGTTCATTTACCAGAATATAAGCAAAAAGAGATCTGTTCTCCTGCACTCATTTGCATCCTTCTTACCTATGAACAAAGGGATTATCTTTGTTCTGAGACTAGAATCTGAGGTCACCCTTTGTAGGCAAATCCAGGGCATTTGGGAAAAAAAACATGGAGCCAATAAAGCGTGTCTGACTGTGGGAGAGGCAAGGTTGGTCTATCTGGAAGCTTTATAAAATCCACAAGTGTGTAATAATATGGCACAAACTAAATGAGAAGATGATTCAAGTGACTTAGCAGGAAATGGTTAGAGACACCAGGTGTCACTAACATTTCCAATGTATTTAGTCACCGATGAGGTCCTCAAAATCCTTTAATATTTTCTCAGATTTAAATGTGTGGGTCCATAAGTGGCAACCATTTACAGGAAACACAGCAAATTTCTGAGTCTTATTTCTGGCATCCTGAACAGCCAGGAAGTGCAAGCAGAGGGTATAGCGACAGCATTAACTCAGGTCCTCCAGAAAGCTGGACTTTCTGCTGCTGGAGGATGGCGATTCTCAGAGCTGCTTGCAGAGCCGTCTTTCCTGTTGCCCTCAACCCAGTGCCTTCCTTCAGGGTTCAGATTCTACCTGGAGGTCCGGAAGAGCCCTTCTCCAGCAAGAACTGGCTCATTCATCTCAAGTAAATCTATATATCCTTAGTATGAGTAAATAAAAGGGACATTAAGCATTTCAATCCAAAAGACTGCTTTTATCTCCTACAACTTTATGAAAATACGTATTCCACTCTCCCATAACCTCCATGGTTCAGGAAAAACCACAGTTTGTGCTCAATTGTACCTGTCGCCCAGTTTTAAAGAATGCTTATAGGTTTGGTGCCAACAGTGTAACTAAACAGCAAGACATGTACACCATTCTTCATCTAGAGGACGATATGTCATTTTAGTTATTGATCTGGTACTGGTGAAGTATTAGGTTCTTGAATGACTTCCTAACCATGACCAGTTAGAGATTCAATATGTGGCCCTTTCTCAGTTTTGATTTTGTTCTCTAGAAATCTATTTCATTGTATCAAATTCTCACCAACAGAAATACCTAAAATCATGTATTTCCATTCAAGGCTTAGGCTTATATGTACAGAGAAGTAAAATGTTTTCAAAGGTATAATAGCACTGAATCATCACTACCTCCACTCTCCTTGTTTGCAGTTCTCTGAAGAGTATCCAGGTGCTGAGATAATTCAGGGAGCTTCAGTCTCAAGAGGTCTCTGAAGACAGCCATATCCACAGACAATGCCCGGAGATTGTTGACAAAATAGCTTTCAGGAAGTACCTTATCGATAAGGTAAATCATAATCTGAAGAAAAAGATAAAGAACAAGACTGCTTCAAAAAAAACAGTATCCAGACCACTTCATGGATGGTGTAGATGCCTGACCACTGTACTGTATACCTGAAGCTGAAGGTGAATAATATTGAATGTCAACTATAATTTAATATATATATATATATATATATATATATATATATATATATNTAATATATATATATATATATATATATATATATATATGGTCATGGAATATGGAGTACAGCATAGGGAATAGAGTCAATAGAGAATTGTAACAACTATATACGATATTAGAGGGGCAATAGATTGGGGGAGGGGAGTTATCACTTTGTGAGGCTTGAAATGTCTATTACATTGTTTTGTACACCTGAAACTAATGGAAAAAAAAACCAAACCCAAAACCCAGTATCTTAACGTCTTAAATAGAAAAAATATATTCAAACGGAGAAAATGTAGTTAGCCAAAGCACATTATCCTTTAAATGTGTCAGTACCAAAATGTTCTGGATTTTCAAGGCTCATTGACACTCTGGGTAAAGAGTGGGTGGTATAATTATCTGAGCAACTCATAATTATCTAAGAAACTCATCAAAGTACCTCAGACCCAAAGTCTGCTGCTGTCTAAAATTTCTAGATGGACAGCTGGACCTGAGTCCACCCCATAAGGAGCTGGGATAAAACAACGCTCGGCCTCACTCTGAGAAGTGACAGAGCAAATGCTTCATCAGCCAGCAGGCATCTCAGTACTGGCTCCTCCGTGTCCGCCTTACCATGAAAACCAAGAGTTGGCCTGTCATAAAATACCCTCATTGAGGCTGGCCTCGAAATTCACTGACCATCAATCTGGATTATTAGAACAACTGATGTTGGCTTTTTGTCCATTTTCCTCTCCTGGGAGAATGTAACAAGGTTTTATTTGAATAAGTGGCATTTTTAAAATCTGGATCTCTTTCATAAGATTGTCCCACAAAGTCTTCCAATTACTATTTTCATTCTGACTTTTCTATTTGTGTTACCTTTTCTAAGATGTCAAGAACCACTAGAATGACCTAGCGAAACACATGAGTTCTATATGTCAATCTCTGGTCCATTCCCTGGAAGCATGCCTGCTGTGCATAGGCCCTCCCCGCTGGGAGACCTGTTCATTCCCACGAGAAAATCAAAATTAAGAACAAAATCATAGCTGGCCCGATATGTTGATGGGGAAGTAGCTGTCTCACATTTTAATTTTCAGCGTATCAGAAAACCCCATATTCCAAAAAATCTATCTCCCTGACCTGCCAAAGGCCCGTTTTTCTTCTCATCCCTGGCTTGTAATCTCTACTTTCAGGGTCATAGTTTGGACTGCCAATGAGGGTGGGGACATACTCTGGGGCCTTTATGACAGGAGTGGGAAGGCCCAGGGAGCTGCTTTAGCCTTCTTGCGCAGGACAGAATCTACCAGGTAAATGTATCGTCACCCTGGAAATGGGAGTTTAGCAATAAAAGGAACACGTTCAATCACTGTGCAGGAAGGAGGTCCCGCAGTCCTGAGGCCATTTGAGGGGGTAAGCAGGTTTCCAGCAGAGCAGAGAGCCCGGGTAGGGACTTCCCACTCCACGGGTAAGCAGAAGAGGGATCTGAAGGCAACATTTAAAGGTAACCGTCTATTATTGCACTTTTCATCCAGGGTAAGTTATACAATACAAAGAAAGATACTTTAGTTTTTATGAAGACATTATGAACCCTGAAAATTATAGAAAAATAAGAAAAAAAAATTACCAATTATCATAGTAATTCCTGTGACACAATGAAATTCTCTGTCCAAAGGCATCACAAGAGCCACCTATGTCTTATGTCAGCTGTGTCACTCCACCTATTACTGTATTTCAAAGACCGAACATTAAATCTTTTCTAAAAATTACGACACATAATGGCAATAGAACAAAGATACGCTCTTCGATAAATGGTGCTGGAACACCAGGACATCCAAATGCAAAAAAATGAATCTAGACATAAACCTTAGGCCCTTCACAAAATTAACTCAAAAGAGATCATAGACCTAAGTGTAAAATGCAACACTATAAAATTCCTAGAAGACAACATAGCATAGGTGATCTTGGATATAGGAATGACTTTCTAAATACAACACCAAAGCCATGATCCAGGAAAGAAATACTTGGTAAGCCAAACTTCATTAAAATTAAAAACTTCGGGACAGCTGGCTAGAGCACAGTGCTCATAACACCAAGGGTGCCAGTTCGATCTCCGCATGGACCACTGAAGCTGTGCCCTTCACAACTAGATTGAAACAACTAGACTTGGAGCGGATGGCTCCTGGGAAAACACACTGTTCCCAAGATAGAATTTTTTTTAAAAAAAGTGAAGACAATGCCAAGTGAATTAGAAGACAAGCCACAGACTGGGAGCAAATATGTGCAAAACACACCTCTGATAAAGGACTATCATCCACAATACAAAAAGAACTCTTAAAACTCAACAATAACCAGATGACCTGGGAGTCTCCAAAACACCCAAGTTGGGTGCTGCTACTCCCCCATCTCCGCTCCTGCCCCCAAATCACCCAGTGCTCCCATGGGCTCCCAGTGCTCCCAGAATAACACTCATGCCTCCAGCCCCTACCTAGGCCCTTAGTGGCTCTAACCCTGCAACCTCCCTGCTTTCTCTCCAACTCTCTTCCCTAGAACATGTTTGCCTCAGGGTCTTTGCACTTACTATGCTCAGTAGTAGTTAGGCCCTCCCTGTCCCCATACCCATCTCTACGCTGGCTCCTTGTCTTTCTTTGATTAAGATTTCAAGGAGCGTTCCTTGACCACCCCTCTTTAATATGTTGTCAATTCCAATTCAGCAAAACATTTTTTTCAGAGTGGTTTTCACACTTTTCATTTCATGGAGACCACAGCTCTTTTCATGCCTCCATATTCTTGCATGAGCTGGTCCCCTGCCTAGAATGCTCTTTTTGATTTACCTTGTGAACTCCTATACATTCCTCAAAACCCACCTCCCACATGCCTTCTTCCAAACAAGTTTTCACTGCTCCCTCCATGGGCTTCCCCAGCTCCCAACTTTCCCTCTACCGCACCCTGATTCCACAGGGCTGGGAATGTCTGTGTCCAGCTGTCCCCCCATCCCAGCCTGGGATTCCTCAGGGCTCTGCCAGAATGGTCATCAGGAACTACTTATAAATTGAATGAATTAAGGTGGGTTAGAGCCTAGGTCCATGTCCACACCAGGCATACCCTCTGCCTACCCCACCTGGGATGGGCAGGGGTTGTACTTCTCACCTTAATGGTGTCCAAGGCAAGTTCAACAACTGCACAAGAAAAGAAAAAAAAAAAGAACAAACAAACAAACAAACAAAAACTCAACAATAAGAAAACAAACAACCCAATTTAAAAAATGGACCAAAGACCTTAACAGACACTTCACCAAAGAAGATAAACAGATAGCAAGTAAGCATATTAAAAGATGCTTCACATCACAGTCAGCAGGGAAATTCAAATTAAAACGAGATACCACTACACACCTATTAGAATGGTCAAAATCTGGAACGCTGACAACACCAAGTGCTGGCAAGGATGGGAGCAACAGGAACTCGCAGATATTGCTGCTCTGAATGCAAAATGGTACAGTCATTTTGCAAGACACTTTGGCAGTGTCTTACAAAACAAAACATAGTTTATCACTTTACTCTTACCATACAATCCAGCAAATGCACTCCTGGGATTTACCCAAAGGAGATGAAAACTTATATCTACACAAAAACCTGCATGCAGTTTTATTCATAACTGCCATACTTGGAAGCAACCAAACTGTTCCCCAGGTCCAGACAATGGAATATTATTCAACGATAAAAAGAATTAAGCTATCAAGTCATGAAAAGACATGGAGAGGCCTTAAATCATATTACTAAATGAAAGAAGCCAATCTGAAAGTCTACATACTATTACTCCAATTATAATATTCTAGAAAAGGCAAAACTATGGAGGCAGTACAACAGTCAGTGGTTGTGGGGTGGGGGCGGGAGGGATGAAAAAAGGGGAGCATAGAGGATGTTTAGCACAGAGAAAATACTCTGTATGACATTATCATGCTGGATACATGTCATTATACATTTGTCCAAATCCATATAATAATGTACAAGTCCAAGAGTGAACCTTAATGTAAACTACGGACTTCAGGTGATTATTGATGTGTTGATGTAGGTTCATGGGTTTTAACATATGTACCCCTCTAATGAAGGATGAATGTTGTTGATAACAATGGAGGCTGTGCATGTGGGGGGTTGGGGCTGAGGATGTACGGAAAAGCTCTCTACCTTCCTCTCAGTTTGGCCGTGAACTTAAAACTGCTCTGGAAAAAAAAAAAAATGAAGCATTTAAAAGACAAACAAATAATGAGGGAGGTTCAGATTTTTAACAAATAGTTAAAAACAAACAGTTACTAAGAGAAAACAGTAAGTGCAAAAAAGCAAGGAAAATGGTTTACCTACATCTAATGTACTATATATTTCCCTAATAATTACAACTTGCAAAGGCCAAAATAGCTATTGGAAAAACACCAAAACCTAACATTTTCCTTTGCATCAGAAGTGTTTCTTCATGGCCCCAACCTTCCTTTGCATATTAAATGCCTAAGCAGATTCCTAAATGATGATGTCATTTCATTCATTCCACAAAGTTCATTTTCTTAGAGGCAGAAATATAAATATGCAGTTTTATCTAATCCAACTTTTTATGTGAATTTGTACTTTCTCAAGTATCACTGAGCCCTTTCATGATTTGATTGTCATTATATCCCCTTCTCCAAACCTTTCCAACCCACCCCCAACCTGAATTGTTTATTCCAGCTTCTCAACAAAACTGTTCCCATTTTATAGTCATACAAATTACGTATGGAAAACAAATGACTAAAGCTGATAGACTGAGTAAACAAAATTGCTTCGTAATAAAAATGTTTTAACCTCATGTATTTGATTTGTCACGGCCTCCACCCCCTCCACCCCTGCCTATTTGATGAACAAATAGCTGCAAAGCTGTTTCCTTAAACATATGAATGGAAAGAGTGAGAGGGTGAATACAGATTTGGATCATGTCAGGATGGATTTATAATTAAATCCACCATGATATGTATAAAACCAGGAAGAACGTTTGCTTATTTTTCCATATCACATTAGTCAGTGATTGAGAATATCACTAAGGTATTCACCACAGTCAAACACAGAAATGGGGTGAGGGGGAGGTGCTCATGAATACAAAGACTAAGTATCCATTCCATCCACCACAAAGCATTGCAATCAATAGCAGTTTGAGGGTTTAAATATGAATGAGCAATCCCATCTTGCCTCAAGCAAATAAGGCCGAGGCCATCCTCCACATTTGAAATGCTTCATTTCTCATAAAAAGTATTTCTGGTGACTCAGTGAGTCACATTCAGACCTATAAACTTAAATTACTAGTGTCCCAGCTCAAAAGGTTTGCAGAAATTTTTTTTTACTAATAAAGGCCCTAGGCATCAAAGATTAAAAGATAATAAATATAATTCACTTCCATAACTTTCTCTATGCAAACATCTTCCATCATAAACACTCACTCTCAGCCTACCACCTCCATGCCTCACCACAGATAAGAAAGGATAAAGCAACCTAATAAGATCCAATCAGAATGAAGCATAATGTGTGGAATAGGCCATTTCTAACATCGCCCCAGTGATCTCCACCTCCTGGTAGTCACATCCTTGTATAAGCCCATCTTGAGTATGAGCTGGACCTAGTGACTGGCTTCTAATGAGCAGAATAGGGCAAAAATGATGAAATGTTACTTCTGATATTAGGCTACAAACCTGTAACTTAATCTCTTCTGCCTTGATCACTCTCTTTTACTCTCTCGCTCACTCTGAGGGATGCCATCCACCATGTTGTGAGGTGGAGAGCCTCACATGACAAGGAACTAAAAATGGCCTCTGACAAATAGCCAGCAAGGAACTGAGGCCCTCTGTCCAACGACCTGTGAGGAATTAAATCTTGCTAACAACCACATGAATGAACTTGGAAGTGAATGCTCCCACCTAGAGTGAACGCACTCATCATGCCTTCAGATGAGGCCACAGCCCCAGCCAATACTTTGATTTTTTTTTTTTTTTTTTAGCTGAGCCATCCTGCCACCTGTTGGCAGCTCAGTGGCAGCTCAGCTTGGGCCGGGACTCGAACCGCTGTTGCTCAGAGCCCACACTCTTGAGAGAGCTCTTAGCCAACTGAGCCACTCGGCTGGCCCACCCCAGCCAATACTTTGAATGCCACAGTGATGTGACTTTGAGCCAGTGAAGTCACACCCAGATTTGTCTCAACAAAACTGTGAGGTAATACACATTTGCTATTTTAAGTGGCTAATTTATTATGCAGCAAAGGATAATTAATATTAATTAATACAATTAGTGTTTAACTTTCTTTAAAATATGATGTCCTGTAAGTGAAATTAAAAACATAATCATTCTCTTCACATTTGGCAGCTATATGAGTCTGTCACTTGACCTGGCTTTAATGGGGGTGAGGCAGGGGCAGGGGCAGGGGCGGGGGAGGGAAGGGTATCATGGGTAATTACCAAGGTGTGGCAAACTCCCTGGAAGGACTCGATATTGAGGAAGACAAATTAGAGTTGGAACATTTCACTCTCTGAAGAATTTCAGCTGCCTTCCTCAGAGCCTGATACTCACTTTCAGTGCATCCCCTTCGTTGCCTTCCACCACTTCCAGGATTAGTGCAGCCAGGATGTTAAAGCCTTGACAGTATCCTACATTCTTGTTCCATCGGGCATAAGCTAAAAGGACCCGCTTCAGCACAACCCTGTCCTGCTCAGCCTCCTGGCCACAGTAAGAGCTGCAGCCTGTGCGGTGAAGATCCTGAAATGACAGGGAAACAAGATTTTTTTAAAATGGCTTCTTATACTCTCTCTCAAAAACAAAACAAAAAAACAAACAGACAAAAAAAAACCTGTAGTTATTTGCCGCAGCATTAGAGTCAGATTATCAACATGTATTTTAGTTTTTAAAAATGCATACGCAACTTATAGATGTAAGCCAAAACAATTTTTTTTTTTTTAGTTTTCTTTTTCCTAACGTTTTCTAATATGCCAAGACATTTTTAAGAGGAATTACAGTCAGGCAAATTTTCCACTTAAGATGTTTCCAGAATTAACACACATAGGCACTCAGAATTAACAAAAATTACATAATAATTCCATATAAATTGACAGTTCATTTTAATAATATGTCTCAGATAAAACAAGTCATTTCAACACATGTGCCAACATTATTTCTTTCTACAAAAAAAAATGATATAATACCTATGTAGCTATCAAAACTCTAAATAGCATTAAGGATAAAAATCAAAATAGCAAAAAATGCAACCTGTACTATAGAGAGACAGAAAAATCATTGTGTCCAAAACAGCAAAATCATTCTATCCAAATTGTTGTATAAATTTGTGTGAAATGGACAGAAACATTAATATTTAATCAGGACATTATCTATAATTTTATTTCCAAGCAGAGACTATGATTTTCAGGTGCTGAAGTCATTTTACTGACATAGCATTCATTTCAATGAGAAAATAAAAGATCCTCTTAATAACATGACTGTTATAAAATGTGCACTGCCTTAATTCACAATTTAAGCAGAAAGAAAATATTTCAAATATGGAATGCTTCATCTCTAAGACCACATTCTGAAATTCCAAATAAACAGCTAAAATGTGGATAATGCAAAGGCTTTTCAAGCATACAAGCTATAACTGCATAACATATTTTTAGCATTCGTCTGAAACAGACCAAGTTAGACCAGAAAGTAGCTCCTTTTAGTTAGTACTTCCTCTTGAAAAAAAAAGATCTTCAAATCTGCCAAAACAATAGCCATCTCGTGGTGGCCAAAATTTAGATGAAGCAACGTTCTTTTTAAAACCTCAGCTTAGCATCACTAATATACTGTAATATACTCATATAAAATAAAAAACCATGTGCTAGAGGCTTATGTAAGAAAATAACAGTGGGATCAAATTGAATCAGCACCCTTGGCTTTTGGCACCAGGATCCCATCAACTGTAATAATCCAGGTAGGCAAACCATAGCTGCCTCCACAGATGGTTTGAACCCTTGACAATCTGGTTTAAAGTATGCCCACCAGTTAATCAATCTGACTTCACAAATTGACAGTTAAGAAATTATCAAAGACCCTAATAACAGCCCAGTTATTCTAATATGAAAGATACTTAACTTTAAATTTCTCAGTGACTTATGTAAAAAATTCCAGTTAACAGCGCTGACTCACGCTAAAGAAAAAAAAGGAATGTCAACCTCCTATCACATGAGCAAGGTAAGTAAACTATCAGTGGAAATATTTTATTCTTACTGGCAACATCCAAATTTATGAAGACAAGGCATAGTCAAAGGTCCCCCATTAAAAAGCTATTAGCTATTAAAATGAGGAAGCAGAAAATATATAAACATTCAGACCATAAGGCTTGAGCTTCTGTCCAGGAAACATCTGGCCCCTATAATCTTCCTTCTAAGTTAGGAAAATAGGCCAAGCTCAGTGGCATTACCTTGACTATCTGAATTCCCATCGAGTCATCATCAGGATTACTCCTTTCATTGAAAGTGAAGCGCATGGTTTTGTCCCAATCAATGGCTATACTGTGCAAATAATGATCTGCCAAGGTCAACCAAACCTACAACATTAATAAAGAAAATGCTAAAGTAAAATACATAATTTCACCTTTATTAGAAATAGTTATTACATCCAACAAGAAAATAGGAACTGTTCCTAGAACAGATATAGCCCACATGCAGAAATCCACAAGGGCCTCATTGACATGTGTGCTGTACTGAATTGCACCAATCAGGGTCTTTCACTTATTCTTTCAATTCATATTTGTTGAGTTCCAACTATGTACCAAGCAATGATCTAGCCATTTGGGAAACTGTTAAGAAAACAAAAAATATTTTTCAAATTTGATTTCAGTTCATTGGATTAGCTATATTATGTTATGAGAGCTTGATATACTTGGCTCTTAATTGCTATCTATGCTTGGGCAAGAGCCACCTGGCCCTTCGTGGAGAATGGGTCTTCTCTCACCATGAAGTCACCTCTGCCTTTAAATCCTCTCTCTCTCTCTCTCTCTCTCTCTCTCTCTCTCTCTCTCTCTCTCTCTCTCTCACACACACACACACACACACACACACACTCACTCAACCTGACAGATGAGCTCTCCAAGCTCTCATAATGAAAAACTTTTTAAGAAGAGTCACTGGGTATTTTTACTCCTTTGATTATCTTATCCTGAAAAGCTGTTTCTGAAAGATGTATTTCATAATGCCATTTTTAAGGTATATTTTGAGGAATTCCCAATGCTCAAATTCTAGGAGTATTAGATGAGGTTTATAAATTAATATAATAAGAGAGCATTTCAAGTTTTGGTACTGAACATAATTTAGCAGAAATAATACTGATTAATAGCTCTAGCCAGACTTTTCTCCTAAGCATCAGAATCTTATGTCCAAATGCTGACTTGAGACCTTGAACGTAGACATCTAACAGGCATCTCAACCTTAACAGATCCAAAGCCAAGCATCCAATTCACCACCACCTTACCTATACATACATACATACATACATACATACAAACACACACATCTGTTCCTCCCATCTGAGTAAATAAGGCCTCTACCCTTCCAGTAGCTGAGGTAAAAATTGTGAAGTCATCATTGACATTCCTCTTATGTCTTATTTCAATTTAATAGAAATTCACATCAACTCAGCCTTCAGAATACATCTAGAACCTGACCCCTTCTCTCCATCTCCACTACCACATCTCTGTTCCAACTCTTGCCTAAATTATTGCAAGTCTTCTACTGGACTCCTAGCTTCTGCCCTTGTTCCCTCATATTCTCAAGTTAGTAGCCAGAGTGGTCCGTTTCAAATGTAAGTTGTATCATGTTACTCCCCTGCTCAGAAGTACACAGTACTTTACAACTCACACTGGGCAAAGTCCTGCCATGGCCTACAAGGTCCTACATGACCTGCCGTTCCCCTAACCCCATCACATTACCTCTATGACCCTCTCTCCTTTGCTTCCCTCTTTGTTCACTGTGGTTCAGCCACCCTGTCCTCTTGCTTTGGCTTGTATACTCCTGAGATGCTCCCAGTGTTCTGTTTCAAGTACTTGTCCCCAGGTAGCTGCATAGCCCACTGCTCACCTCCTGCAGGGCCCTATTCAAATGTCGCTTTGCTATTTAAAATTCCACCTCCTTATCCCCATTTTTCCACATTCTCTTAATTTATTCTCTGCTGTATTTTTATCCATGGTACTTATCACCATCTGACATACTTGATATTTTTTTCTTTGTAAACTCCATAAGGACAAAAACTTTGGTCTGTTCTTTTTTTCCACTGCTGTATCCCCAGTACCTAGGATAGCATCTGGCACAGAATAGAGAATCAATAAATACTTATTGAATGAATGAATAATGAAGAGGGACAGGTTTAAAATTACTCAATCTAGAATCTCCTGTTTGACATTCCAGAGACTTTAAGAAGGGACAGAGTAATGATCCTTCTGTATTTTAGCCCTACGAATCCTCCTTACCTTTCTCCTCCATTCCTTTGGTATTCCCGTTGATAGTCTGGCGACTGCCTTGAGAGCATCATACCACTAGGAACAAAGAAGAAATATTGGCAGAGCGATAATACTGACCTGGGTAAGCACTTTTCAACCTTTTTTTCCATCTTGACATCTGTAGACTATGATAAAATTTGTACAGCAGTGGGGTAAACAGTCAAAGCTTCTTTCAGCCAGATATGACTGGTCTAAGGGCTATGACTGCCCCAATCTCCCACTTACATAGTGTTAACATGTCTATGATCCACTCGCAGTACACACAATGGTTGGGGAGCACTAGTTCAGAAATCAAAACGTGTGTTATAGACTCAGAACAACAGACTTTTGCTTTTTTAAATTTTTCTCACACTTTCACGGTTAATAGAAAGTACAAAATTTTTCATCACAAGTATAAACCCAGGCCACTTGTAGCTTCATAAGCTATTTTATCTATAATTTTAAAAATTGGCTGTCTTCTTATGCATATCAAACTATATACTAATTTTCCCACTTTGAGAATATATCTCAGTGTACCCTGTAGATACCCCAAAATAAGAGTATTTTCAAAACCAAAAATAAAGTTACCTGCTGAAAACCATTTTGACCTAAAGATGGCTCAAGAGTGAACTTCAACTTTGTGTCAACTCCTAAAAGAAAAACACATAAGTAACTATTATTTTGGGACAAGTTATATAAAAAATAAAAGTAAAAATTAACCTGATTCTACTGAATCATCATGAAATTTTTTAAACATTCATTTTTACTAAATTTTAGTCAACTTTGTTAAAAGGAAAAGAATACTGATTATTATAATAAAAAATATCCTATGGCAACTGAACAGAGCTTTTCACATAGGATGGTGGTTTCCACAGCTGTCTGGAGTAGTGCACAAACAAAACCAAAAAAATGACACCATAGGCTTGGAGTCATACAGACCTCCCCTCAACTTTGGTTCCTAGAGTCGAACAAATGATTTAACCTGTCTCAGTTTCCATTTTTTATCTTTAAAAATTAGGAGAATAACATCTATCTCAGTATTGTCGTGATGATTAACTATAAATCACTTAGCACAATATAATTAATATTTATGAAACTAAGGAAGATAACTCTGTAGTTATAGAATTTGTTTTCTAGGATACTTGTATGAATGAAGTTTACTAAGGAAACTTCAGTGGAATATCAAAAGTTATAAAAATGTCATGCCTTCCCACTTATGAAAGCTTTAACAATCCTATTTGGAAATTTTTATATATCTTTAAATTCTGTCTTGACAGACTTAGTTATTGAAGATAAAAGTTTGTATGTTTAATTATAGACTACAAGCTGTAAATATAACTACTCTAATTTCAAGTTACCTATGAATTTAGAAAAACTTCTTGTTTCAAATCCCAAATCTATGGAATACAAGTAAATAAATAGGAGAATGTATAAAGACTCCATGCTTAATATTTATATTGGGCATTTATACAGAATTCCATTTTAGAAGTATGTGCTGTTGTTACTGAAGTGACATTAAATGACAATGTTTATTCCCACTTAAATTCTGTTTTTAAAATAACATAATCAAGTCTAAAAAGGCAATATATCCTTTTCTTACAATTTCAAAATCAATAAAATGACATTTTAAATCACTTTCTAAAAGACTTATTACTTAAAAATTCAAGGACCAAGATATACCAAACATTATCAATAGCATTCAGTTTTACAATTTATGATTGTCATTTATGACAACATTTTTGCTTCTAAAATGTTGATTTGCAGAGTAGGCATACTTGAAACCCCTCCACAACTTCCACTACTTAGGGGCTAGTATGTGAACTGGAACAATCTTCAGAATTTGTAAAATTACATTAGACTTGTTGTTTTAAAAACATGTATATGGAATCAAGAAGCTTGAAAGAGATGTATCTGATTTGCCCAAGCCCGTCAGAGTACGCAGATGCCCTTCTCAGTCCTGTGAGTATACACGAGTTGGGTCCCAGATTTCTGAAGTCAAGCTGTGGTAGAGAATCCCAAGGTATTTATTTTCAAAGCTTCAGGGCCAAAACCATACCCTGCCTAGATAGATAAGGTTTTCTTCCCAAGATATATTAAGTACCCCCACGGATTCTCATCACTCTGAGTTGGTTTAAATGCAGCTCGGCCTCAGTGCAAGGATAATGGTCACAAGAGTGCCTCCCGCTGGAGCGCAGGATTTAAGGCAAGATGAAACAGATCGCGTGGTGAGGGTGCTGTCCAGCCCCAGGGTGCTGAATGGAGGAGCGTATGTCGTGACGTTTGCTTTATTATAACAAAAGACCAGGAAATTCGGTCCCGCGTTGAATTATTTCTACCGACCTAAAAGCACCGGATTCCCTGTATGTACAACCGAATATGCTTCTTGACTTTTTCAAAGCACCTGCTGGGCATCCTGCCGATTGCCTTGCTGTGCTGAAACCTGGCTGGGTTAGTCAAAACCACAACTATTTTCTCCTGATCAAAAATGAGTCACAGGATTTAACTGGAATTGATCATTCGCTGCCTGCATGCAAAAGCTGAAATCAGGTCACTTTCACCTTTTTTCTTCTAACTGAATAAGGGAGGGGAGAAGGTTTATGTTTCATCTGATAATCACAGCTGTTCCGGATTCAGAAATACAAACCACTTTTAACGTGGGAAGGAGATTTTTTTTTTAAGGGTGAAGGAAGGTGGTGAATAAATACTACAGTCTCTGCAACTAGACACTTCCTTGGGGAGAAAAACAAAGGAACCACGAGGTTCGGAAAGGCAGCCACGCGTCCCGCCCTATGGGGCTCAGTGTCTCAGCAGATTCTCCCCTACAGCCTCAAGATAGCAGGTCCCCGAAGGTGCTGGGAGGCGGGGGTGGGGGGAGGACGAACCCGCCTGGAACCCAGCTGGTGCCACTCCAGGGACAGGTGAGTGCTAAGCACTGGTGTGAGTACAGCCGGTTCCCTCTGCGGCCACCCTAGCCAGAAAGCTCTGAGTCCATAAAACCCCGGGGAGAAATGCCAGGAGGTGGAGCAGGCGCGGAGTTATGCAGCCGAGAGAAGCGGGGATGAGTAAACACATGCTGAAAGCAAAAAGGGCCTAGCCTAGGACAGCCAGGCGCACTCCCGGACTTTACCTATAAGAAAGGATCTCTAGGCTGCAGGGGTGCTTCCTGCCCGCTCCCCACCCAGATACACAAATTAGAGGCTCCAGGCGGGCTGACCCCAGACATTCATGCAACAGAGACCCTCAGGAAAATGTACCCGATTTTTCCTTCGCAGCTGCAGCGTTCCCCTTAGACCCCAAGAATCAAACCTGTGCCTTTCTCCGCCTCACACACCTCTTTCAAGGTCTGGCTTCTTGTGAAGCCGAAGCACAATTGGTTGCGCGGCCTATGATAACCTGGGCAGGCGCCAGCAGGCCCCCAGCTCCGGGCACAAGCAGGGCTGGACCGTGCACAGGCCGCGGGGAGGGGGTCCACGAGCAGCCAATGGGAGCCACGGGTCCTCCACGCCTTAGGGGCCACTGCCCCTGCCCAGGCCCTGGTCTGCGCTCTGCCCTTCCAGGCCGACCCAAACCGGCCTGCGCCAAGCCGCGGTGCCCTGCACCGGGAGGCCCGCGGATGCTCCACGACCTAGGCGGAGACCAGCTGAAGCAGAGGCGCGAGCAGTACCAGCTCCCGGGGTGCCACGCTACTTTCCAGTGCCTCATCTGCAGCCCCGGGTCCTCACCCGGCTCCAGAGTGCAGAGCAGCCGGGGCGCGGTCCGGGAAATGCAGCTTCGCTTCTTGAGAACATTGCTCAGGATGGTGCCCACGCCGCCACCGCTGCCGCCACCACCGCCGCCCTGCCGCTTCAGGCATCTCCCTCCGCGCCGCAGGGAGCCGGTCAGCTTGTCCTGTCGCATCCGGGAGCGCCCGGGGCTCCAGTGCAACCACCGTCCGCTTGGGTAACCACCTGCCCCGCTGGCGTTGCGGCTTCACGCGGGTGGCTCCGCGCAAGTCGGGTCAGTTCAGGGTCCCTCGAGAGCAGCAGCTCTCGGCTGGTGCTCGGGGGTCGAAGGGACCTGTGGGGCACCGCGGGAGCCACCGAGCGTAGGGCGGCCGGCGGGCATCTGCAGTGCGGAGCCTGCACAGCTAAGGCAGGAGAGTGCTTGGGGCGGGGAGGAGGGCGGGAGCGAGTGAGCGCGCGGGAGAGGAAGGCGGCGCTCCCGCCCACAATCCCGGCATCACAGTGCGCAGGCGGGGCGGCTCCCGGCACCTGTTCCCCCTGTTCCCCGGAGCCGCAGAGCTGGGGAGCCGGGAAACCCGGGAGCGGGCGGGTGAGCAACTGCGCTAGGGAGCATAAGCCGCGACATAGATTTGCACGCTTCTCGCAACATCTGGAGGGGTTGGAGGGGGCACCAAAGGGAGCAAGTCTCAGATGCAGAACACCCTCGAGAGATGGCAAGCGCCCACTTCATCTGAGCAACCTCGGAAGGGACGGTCAGCCGACCGCAGGACGAATCTGGCAACACAGTAGAGAAGCTAGCAGATGGCGAAGCACAAGCTTCATCCCAAATAGTGTTAAACTCTTTCCAGGCAGCTTAGAGCGGCATGGCGAGCACGTAAAAAATTATTTTAAAATATTGTTTCTCTTGGAAGAATGGGCTTCAAGAAAAAAATATGTTCCCATTTAAAAGCAGTTTTTATTTTAGGTAAAAAAAGTGCTCCCTCATCTCTCCAGCCAGACACCTGATTCAGTGGTTCAGAACTACTAGCTAGCATTACTGTAAAAAAAAAAAAAAAAAGTCATTCTAAAACTATGACATTCACCAATGGGATATTAATCATAAAAATGAATGAGGAATAAAGAAGGAAAGGATGTGGCAGGGAGGAATACAAAGATATTTGTGTTCGCTAACATTTAGAAAAGGAACACTAGATGGATAAACTAAAAACTAATTTAAAGAGAATTTATTTGGGAGAGAATAGTGTGGAAGAGACAGGAACAGAAAACAGACTTCTCGGGATGCGCCTTACATAGTTTTGACTATGGAATAACATGTTATATTAATAATATTAATAAATTAAATAAAAAGAACATCCTAAACATTGGTAACGAATGGAAACAAATGAACCTAATGGAGTATCTCTTTGATGGCAAAAGAACAGAAAAAATATTAAGTTGCTTTAGAATGGTACAATATATTCCAAAGGCAAGGAGAGCTGCAACAAAATCTTACATTTCATTCAGTAGCATTATTGTCACTACTAATATTGGCATTATTTTTAAAATCCTTATACTGTAGATAAAGCAAATCATTAGGTCAATGTCAAAAGGAACTAAGATGTTTGCAGTGTAACAGAAAAACACAATACAATCAAAGAAGTTTTTCTTAAATCCTGCAATAGTATATTTAAGTGTGAACTCATCATCTTTTTTCCTTTTGAAATACATACATACATACATATATATATATATATATATATATATATATATATATATCCACGGAAGAAGTTTAAAAGTAAGGACAACCCAGCAGCAATGTACATCCCCCAGCAACCAGGTTGTGGTCTCTAAAAGTCATTTCCCACTAAAAGGAACCAAGGGCTCCTTTGAGGTGTGGCTGATTCCAGATCTGGGCCAGAAAAAAATACAAGATGAGCCTGACACATCTT